CAGGTCAATGACAGTCTCCATTCCTCAGAGGAAGGCCCAACTCGAGGGTGTCTATTGTTCCAGACTAACCTCTGGGTCCCATCCATCTTCCTAGGTCATTTCTAAGCATATCCAAAACCTCATCATCTTATAAAAAGAATTTTTTTTTAGGAAGTCATTTCCTGTATAAGTGTGCTGGGTTAATAGGTTTCTGGTGCCCAGGTCAATGACAGTCTCCATTCCTCAGAGGAAGGCCCAACTCGAGGGTGTCTATTGTTCCAGACTAACCTCTGGGTCCCATCCATCTTCCTAGGTCATTTCTAAGCATATCCAAAACCTCATCATCTTATAAAAAGAATTTTTTTTTATTTTCAAATTTTATTTTCAAGGTTTTTTTTTAGAAGCATTTCATTACAGCTTTAACATATTCAGTAACACATTCCAGAGCAAGGATACATCTCTTTCTTTTGAGACAAAGCCTCCTTGTACCCTCAACTGCCCTGGAACTTGCTATGGAGACGGGGTGGCCTAGATTTCACAGAGATCTGAGGGCCTCTGCCTCCAGACTGCTTGGTCCAAAGGCATTGTTAGTCAAATTCACTGCTGGGTGGTGCACGTGGCATCCATTTCCCTCCTCCCAAGGCTCTTGCGACAGCCTGAGGAAAAAAAAAAAATTGCCCAAACTCAGGGTTGAAGAATCTTAAGGAGTTTATTGAACTTGCTAACTGAGCTTGGGGTGCAGGTTTACTTACAGACAAACGGGCCCCCCCCTCATTTGGCTGTTTGAAAGTCCATACCCAAACATAAATCACATGGTTCTGGACAGCCTCACAAAATGGTGAAAGAGTGGCCTCCTGATTTTCTCAGCTTTTATACCCTTAGCCCCTCCCCTGCAAGCAGGTATGGTTAATCAATTGGCTGGAAGAGGGAAGGGGAGTGACTCCTTTGCAGAGCATCGGAAGGAGGCGGGTCCATGGCCCCTCATCACAGGGTCAGTGGAACACCCAGGGTCACAAGCATACTCTAGACAGGGATGGGGTGTTCTAGACTGGATGTTTGTTTCCTCTAATTCATGTCAAATTTCCCAATCCCTGGTGTGAGGGGGTATAGCAGTGGGGCCTTTGGGAGGTGATTAGGTCATGACGGCACAACACTCATAGAGGGGTGTTGGCACCCTTATAAAGCATATCTGGAGAGCTGCCTCAAACTTTCTGCCATGTTGGACACAGCAGAAGAGCCTCTGCTCCTTAGGTTTTCAGCGCAGACTAATCAGGCTGTGCTCCCCACCCCCTCCCCCTCAGCAGCCACAGTTTCTGTAGAGGAAAAGACAAGTCCAATACATGTGAGTCTCTGACCGCCTAACAAACAGACTCCCCCAAGTGCCTAGATTCCAGGAGAATGGAAAGCTGGCCAGGGAGCCTCGTGGATCCTTGTGCCTTTGCTCCCCTGGCTCTGGGTTTATAAGCATGCCCCCAAATGCCTGCCTTTTTATGTGGATTCTGGAGATCAAACTCAGGTGCTCATGTTCATGTGGCAAGCACTTCCTTTATGTCTAAGCTATCTTTCCAGCCCCATTATTTGAAATGTGGAAGTGCCCCAAACTGCTAAAGAATTTTCTTTTTTATTTTTGGGAAA